ATATATATATGCATAAAATTAAACAAAAAATAATATTTGAAAATAATATTTTTATCTCTATGTCTCCCCATCCCTCTATCTCTATGTCTCCCCATCCCTCTATTTCTCTGTCTCTAACTATCCCTTTAACTCTCTATTTCTCTATATCCCTCTATCTATCTACATATCTACCTTTTTCTCTATCTCTCAATCGATGTCTGTGTCTCAATCTCTCAGTGTCTCAATCTCTCGATTTCTCTAACTCTATCTCTATTTATATAATATATGTACATGGATTATATATGAATGTTTCCTATATTAAATACTTCATTGATTTCTTTTAATTTCGAACTTGAAAGTTTTTCGTTTCTCTTCCTCCAAACTTACGGAAATTGAGTAAAACAAACAACAATTTCTTATCAAGAACTTTTATTTTCAATTGTCAGATACATAGTATTTCTTTTCTTCTACCTATCTCGTTCCCACACTGATTTTACTTTCTCTTATTCTCTTTCTCTCTCCCTGTCTCTTTTTTATGGTCGCGTCTTTACTTTTTTTTTTTTTTTTTGCCTTATGCTTTGATTTCGTAATATCTTAAGGGTTTTGACTCATGCACTCGGCATACAAAGAAGAAGAAGAAGGGGAAGAGGAAGAGGAAGAGGAAGCAGTAGCAGTAGCAGTAGCAGAATATAAAAACAATTCGTCACGCATCAGCAATAAAAGTTGCATAGAGCTAGCGACATACATACATGTACATATACACATATGTATATACATACATACATATATGCACATGTATGTATATGTAGATAGATAGTTGACTTTTATTTTATATAGAATTCGAATTAAATTTCTATATCGTAAAAACTCTTCTTATCAGAGATTTTTCCATTTTAAATCAGAGTTAAAATTGTTTTTCCCATATCTTTATCATCTGACTTCTATTTCACAGTCTTATTGGTCTTATTGGAAAAATGCATCAAGGTTCGTCTACTGCTTATGTTTACACTTGTTTTCCTAAAACTCTTCGCGCGCTCTCTCTCTCCCTCTCTCTCTCTCTTTCTCTCACTTTGTTAATGCACAGGTAAACAATAAAATCTTCTATCTAAAAGAGTTTCCTCACTTCATCTGGAGAGATATTATTTTACTAGGCAATTAGCACATTGAAGTAACTCTCTGAAGGAAATAACAAAGAAAAACAACTCATTTTATTTATTTAAGGGCCAAAATAAAAAACACTGTAAAGCGGTTCACTCTAACGACATTTTACTGTACTTCATCTGCAAACAAGCCATCGCAATGCCCCCACTAAAGCTATTTCTAAGAATATATCAATAGGGGCCCTATTTGAAATTAATCTGAAGCAAATAAATGCCATCAAAACAATTTTTAAGCAATAAAAGAAACAACAACAAAAAGAAAAGAAAAGAAATGAAAATTAAAAAAAACCGGCGTGGCATATTTTGCGGTAGTTTGATTGGTAACAACGTAGGCATCGGCTTCGGCGTCGGCGTCGGCGTCGGCTTCGATGACGTTGATGTTGACGTTGACGGGTCGTACGACAGTAGCGCTATCAAACGTAATTAACGCAGCACGCTACGTAAATGAAGTGCGCTTACGCTAACGCGACACGTAAGCGGCCGGTTTTGGGTACCCCTTCTTAGCAATGTTGTCGTGCACGCGACGAGGGGGTGGGCGGGCCAAAACGATAAACTAAACGAAGCGAGCAAGAGAATGGACAACCATACAGGTCGAGACGAGAGAGGAGGAGAGAGGAAAAGAGAGAGCGAGCAATGCGAAGTCGTAGCATCACAGTAGTTCAGGTGATGCATGCCCAATTGGAGCATGCAAGCTGCCAATTGGCAATTGGCAATTGGCAATTCTCAAATGCATTGCACAACAATGCAAATGTATTTGTTTAGAGATCACGCTCTACGAAAATATATGTATGTATGTAATATACAAAAATAATGAGCAAAAGAAAGGGGAAAAACAACCGCTATCATAATGTTATCTAAGCGTTTATCTCAACATGGCCAGCCGGGCCAAAAGCAAATGTGATAAATAAACGAGTGTTATCTCTATGTTCGAATTGGACTGCAAATTGTTTAGCTATACCAATTAGAGCCTATGCATTAACGTAACAATTTTTTATGGAAATGTTGTTGTTGTGCATACATACATATATGTATGTCTGTATATTCATATATAAATTAATATATGTATGTATGTATGTTGCTTCTTGTTGTTGGTTATACTTCTTGGCCCAACAACTTTGCCATTGGGTTTGCACTTTACGAGCGCTCTCTCTCTGGTTCTGGCTCTTGCTCTCATTCTCTCTTTGACACGACTCTCTTGCTCTCTGACTCTCTGTTGCTGTTATTGTTGTTGCTGCTGTCTGCTGTTATACACGTTGTTGTTGTTTTTGGTGGTGGCTAAAAGCGGCGCTTGTTCCTTTTCGTTCTGTTTCGGTGGTTGCTTCGCTCGCGCTTTTCGAATAACAATCAAACTCAAAAAAAAAAAAAACCAAATATACAAAAAAATGTGGTTTTGGCCAAATTGCGCAAGCAAAACGACAGCAACAAATTGCTCAAAATGAAATACAAGTTATTTACACTATGGCTTAACATAACCTCCAACGACGAATTGTTAATTGCACGCACACACACATACACAAAGTGCTAATGTTTTTTCCTTTGTTTTCCTTTGCATTACGAGTCTCGCTCTCGCTCTTTCGGTCGCGCTCCAGGCTCTTCCACAATTCACCTTGGTCGCCTTACAACACACACACACAGGCAAACACACACACATGMACACACCTTCCTCGCACCCTCTCCCGCTAGTGTTCACTATGACAAAGTGGAAAAATCAATGAATGTCAGCCGTAACAGAACGCAAGAGAGCGGGCACGTGAGAGTAAAGTGCATGCAAAGACAAAGAGAGCGCGCGCGCGTCCTGCTTCCTCTCGCACTCCAATGCCCCGCGCTGCCTAGCAGCTTTCTCGGTCCCACACGAACCTGAACACACGTCGTCAGTTTGTTAACTTATTCTTATTAGGCTGCTGGCAGCTACCACGTTCTACCATACACACACGCACACGTGCATACTTTACGCTCACACAAGGCACGGAAACACACATACACACGGACACTATACTCTCATACTCTCTCGATGCCGCTCTCTGACTGTTTCTCTGTGGATGTCAACGTCAGCGTTGCGGCTTTTCTGCTTCTTGCTACGTTTCGCTTTTTTTTGTCGTATTATTTTGCACCGCTTTGTTATATTTTTCATTCTTATAAGCGCACCAACACCGACACAAATGCTAATTGGCATTGCCCAAACTACACAAAATTCTTAATTGGAGTGTCAAATGCACCAAATGCCAATTCACCGCGTAAAGCAAACAAAAACAAACCACGAAACAAAAAACAAAAAACTGAGATGACAAGAGAAGAGAAATTAACGGAAAACCATAACAAGAACGAGCATGTTCAATGTTTTACAACAAAATGCCGACAAAAAAAAAAAAA